TCAATAATACCTTTAAATAATCCTCAAATAACAACTAAGCCAAGTAATCAAAAGCAAATTATATTAGGATATAAATGTTCATAACATTCAAATAAATACAAACATTAAATGACATTATAATACATCTTTATCATTATTAATCAATTTAATTCCATTTTTAATGTAAATCCATCAGTTCAAGCTGTCTAGGCAAAGGAATCAATCTGTTCTGGCCTATCACAAGCATTCCTCTGGGGGACTTTAGTCATCTTAAGCCTGTGTAGTTGGAATGACAACATAATTGCTGTCCCTAGACTGCATTGATACTATCGTACCCTTCCCTTATGAATTTATTTGACTACATTAACCAGGACATTTACACAGAATGTACAGTATGTTTGTATCTTGCAGCCTCTGATTCTGATAAACATACATTTAGTGTTCATGAATACAATTTAGAAAATGAGATTTATGACTTCAAATTTAGTAAGTAGGAATGTTTAATAAATAAACAAATATATAATAAATAAAAATAATAAACAATGATTAGTGCTACATATAAGAATATCTACAGTATTTATTGAGTTACATGGAGCTTCATCAACTGTTATATAATTACATTATACAAATTCACATGACCCTTCACCCTAATATATAGCACATTCTCCAGGTATATAATTATGTGATGAATTCACATTAGCTTTCACCCCAATCAATTACCTGATGAATTAAAACTGGTTTAATTCTAATTGAGGGCTTTCTGATATACAATACAGCTTTTATAGCACCCTTATCAAAACTATGTACTTGTAAATGCTGATTAAAAAAGTACTACTATAATGATTGAGTTGAAAGTTGACATTGTGTAGCAACTTTTAAAGGTCAATAAAGCACCAAAAAGAAAGATTTACAGTAATTACTTAAAATCAAGACATGATTTACATGTGATGAAGTTATTTTAGTTTGAAAATGTCAAACTATAAGAACTAAACAATATCTTTAAAGGTTGACCAATTTAACAGCTCTAATTGCTTAGCAACTACAGCTCTCCAAAGTAGCAGGTCATTATGGGGGTCATCATAGGGTTACACATGTTGTATACAAACTCGCTTCTACATATGTTAATGATTTTCAAGAATGCCAAATATACAAATAATATTGTATACAATTTTGTTCCATTAGAGTGACTCAAGTTCAGTGTTAATCTACAAACAATTGCATCACATATTCATGACAACATTTCAACTTTTGAACTTGACACATATGGGACCAACATGCTTTCACAGATGAAATCAATTTGTTAGACATTTTCTATGGATTATGATTTAATATTTATAAGGAGATAATTATTTTAACTACTAAGTTGACAAATGACAAAGTTTAGTAAAACTTGTACAGTATGTACATATTTGGAAGTGATTTATACTCAATGATTTAACTACTCCTGTTACTATCTTGTTTTGCATCTGCAAAGGAAGTCACAAAAGACCCTTGTTAATACATCTAACCATAGAGTAATGAAATAGTATCAGCATTCTGCACATTAGTACAAATGGCAAATGGTCTCAAGAGAATTTCTCTTGTTTTATTGCACCTGATGATTAAATAGCTATTTAGTCTTTAAAGCCCGTCGCACACGGTAATTTCACAGAGTAAACCATAATATGAACAACGAATATAATAACGATAAAATATATTTGGCCTCGCATAATTAATTCCTCATGAAGACCACATAAAATATGAACAAGCATCACTCCATCAAACTCAAGATTTACAAAATTGGTTGGTGAAAATGATTAACCAACAATGGTTCATCATAAATAAGTATTTAATGAATAGTTTTATGCAGCAATAACGCCACAGAGGAACCACACATGAATTACGCCAAGACTGTCAGGCCAAGCTCTGAGTGACATCTAAACAACAATGACTTTCAAGACATTGACATGCGCCTTGATGCGTTTTTGTTCGTTAACGAGAAAACCCAAGAATAAATTACAAGCACCAGCTTTCAGAAAAATGCCTAATAAGAAACAAACATTTTTCTTTCGATTGGGCTACTGATCTACTGACTGTGATGGCATCTCATCATATTATAGCGGTAGATAAGGGGCTGGATCCACAGGAGACAGACAAGGATTTTAGGATAATTTCTTTCCAAAAGTAATCTGGAAGTGAAGCAAATTCACTATATGGATATTCTATATTACGTCAGGATATTTAAGTCCGTACTGTAGCTTGAGTAATATGAATATTCTATATAGTTTTATGTTGGCTGTTTTCTCCTGGTTAGTACTGGAGCTAACAATTGAGGATTTATCTTCAACATAAAAATATCAAACACAACAGATAATTATTTAAATGCACACCAAATCCCATTGCACACATAATTATACAAGGGAGAGATTAGGCAATTAGTCAGTTTATCCAGGTAAGTATTCACAAAGTACTGTAGACCCTTAAACAAGTTATCAGTCAATTAGAAAGGATCATTCAAAGTTGGGGGGAAAAAAATTATAATTTTTAGTTCAAAGTTATTATATTGACCATTTTTAACTTTTTAAATAAAACAATATTTCCCAAATAATAATATGTTGTGCAGCTTTAATCACAGATTTAAAAATACTGCAGCCTTTATAATTTTAAAACCTAGTAAAGCACTTGCAAGTACAGTACACATCATTTTTACATCCTTTTTTTCAGAAAATTGTGTGTACTATTTCACAACAGGAAATTGAATACAGCCTATTGGTGGTTAATATAAGATGCTTGTCTTCCATCCAATCCAACGTACTAGGTTCAAATCTTTGGCTCCTACATTATCCTGGGAATACTAGGCATTAGGTTAGTATGGCACTGACCTGGAAGGAAGGATGTGCGGGCACATATTAACATCATATGACCCTGACACCAAGAATTGATTATGTTTATTCTCCCTTCCAATGTCAACTAATTATACTACCTAATAATAAACATTTAAATATTTAAAATCTGCTTGGTACAAATAACCTACAGTAAACTCAACCAAAATTGGCAAGGACTAGGTTCGCTATGTTAGAACTTGAAATTGTTCTATAGAGTGGTCAAAGTACAGTACAGCATACATATAAGACAAGTTACTTTTGATGATTCAAAGGTGATTCAGTGGCAGATCTAGAGTTGGAAGTGCCCCAGGATACCCACAACAGGGAAGCGAACGCCATTTCCTAAACCCTCCCTCAAGCTTAAGGTGCTCAACTGGCTCTTCATATCCCAACCCCTACTCCCTACCTTCTATTATGAAACACCCTAGATCCATCCTTGTGATTTAATAACCTATATAACGAGAACCGGTAGGTCCCACCTAGGTGGGATTATTCAAATCAAGTTTTCTATAATTTAATAAACAATGGTTTTATAGTTGGTATGAAAAATAGGTTCAATGATTTTTCAAGAACTATGTAGTAGCTGAAACCTAGGGATGGTAGTATGTGGTCTTCAATTACGAGAGTTGTTCTTGTTTTGAAAGTCAAAACATCAATAAACTGAGAACTACTTGAGAGTTTATCACCTCAGCATCTCTTCGAATTCCAACAGGTATTCACAGGTAATCCAAACACCTGCAAGCTTAATTACTGAAAGGAATAATCATTTCTACTGACAAGAGTCGGTAGGCGTAGGTAAAATAAGCAAAACTCTAAATTTATCAATTGTTTTTTGTTTATTATAATAAATGTTGGATTGTCCCAATACAAGGTTATTTAGCTTAATAATAAACTGTGTACAACTACACTAAACTATCCCAAATGATTGGGAACAGAATTATAAAAAAGCTAAAGTCTAATCTGAAAGGTTAAAATCAATTAAAGCTGACACCTTTGTAGAATACTGTAATCTATCCCAGGGCCAAACACAAACCTAACATCAAACTGATTTTTCTATTCAAATTAGACAGTACAATGGAAATTGAGTTTTAACGATTTAAGTTTATCATACCGCAAGTTTATCATACCACCATTTGTATTTTGCAAGGATGTCTGTAAAAAATTGGCAACAAGACAATGAAGATTAAACAATCAAGTCTTGTTCAGGTCATGTTCTAACCCAAAATATCAATATCATTTGAATTGTCTAAGAGCTTTGACCTTGTTACAGATCTAAGTCGAAATAGTCTTTTGGAAAGCTAGCCTATAGAATGACCCATTACTGTACTTACTGACATTGACAACACTAAAGAGTTTTACATAGGAAGTCGCAATGAATTAATTATATAAATTCATTAATCAAATTTTAATAATAAATTAATAAATCTATGGTAGACCATAAAATACGCAAGAATAACAGAAAGGACTTTAAACCCAAATATTGTGATAAGCCCCAATCGAAGTACATGAAATGGGCCTATTATGACATAAATTTGATCGTAACTGTTTGCGCTACATGTTTCTCATGATCGCGATGTCGACTTTGCAAAAAAGCCAAAAGTGAGTCGGTCTTTTCTATTGGCTAATCATGAAGTAATATCATTTACCGTACCTTTAGCAATCGGAAGTCCCGATACGGTACCGTATCTCTGCCACGGCGTAAATTTATATTAATTATTCCTATCATCTATGACTCTAGTAGTGTAGCATACACCTACTTTTAAGTAGAATAGTCCTAGCTGAACAATCATGTTCACGATAGCTTTCTTAGTATTGACCATCCAAATAAATAAATCACAATCTTTGGCCAATGGTAAGTTCACATTAAGGTGTTAAAGAATCAATGCTGTATTCTAATACTATAGCGTGAATACAACTGGTCAACAACAATGACCATAATCTGGAATGTTATTCAATGTAAATGATGCATTATGAGAAGTTTATGTACTGTACACCACTCAAGCGCACTTCTTAAAATGCGAAACGTTCCCAATTATGCTATGATTGTTTGTTTCTCTGAATTAAATTTTCTAATTTATGGACATAAAAATATTTAAATAAATTTGATAACATTTAAAGACTGCCATTTTTGTAAAATGGATTTTTCTTGGGTGTCAATCAAAAACTTGACCAAGAAAGAACAGGGTCAGGTATAAGCGCATGTCTAACAAGCGCACTGTTGTCCCACAAATGCATACTTTATGTTTTAAGGCATTGTATGGGACCTTAGCAACAATATCCAAGGGGCGGGGCAGGAGTTGGAGGACAGGTTCATTGCAAAGAACGTAGTCAAGTTCACAATTTGGCTAAGAAGTGTCTGAAGCAATGAGCATGGTGATGACACAGGTGCATTTACTGTAAGTGTTATTCCCTAGATTATATGTTACTGCAGGTCTACCTATCCCTCAAAACGAGACTTGGCTTTTATAAAAAGCATCACCGAGTTCAATCCTATAATTTGGCAAGTGTACCTGCCAATTAATCCGACAGAAATAAATTAAATAAATGAATATAATGTACATCTATAGGCATGTACTTGTGAGATTGGCAGTTTAATTCACAACACAAGGGGGGAAAAGCACAACTCAATTCACAACACAATGTACAAAAATTTAAAGATAAGGAAGCAAGCAGCATTTTAGTTCATTAGGAATCACAACAAACAAGTTAATTATTGATGCAGTGCCAAAGTTTAGTAGCAAGAATTACATTATAGGACATCAGGAGACATACTAGAGTGGCACATCTCCATGGGGATGGTCCCTAGCAACCTGTCTGTCATCTCTACCTGGCAGTTCATCAAATTTTACAATTTAATAAATAATCTTGCTGCTGATAAATTGCCAATTTAAATTTGCAAATTACAATTATGAAAAAAAAAATATATTAAATGATATTTAAATGCTATTTCTAAAAGTATCTTAATGCAATGCTAATATTAAAAATGATCAAGTCTGACAATTAGAAAAAATATTCATTGATAACTTCTAAATAAAATTTACGAAGTATTAAAATAAGGCTTAATAAGGCTTAAATATTATACAATATAAATCTTTATACTTTCTATTGTATGGCATACACTTTACTTTCTATATAGAGTAGGGTGAATACTTTACTGTAAAAAAGAAATCTTTGACATGTTCTTTATTCAAGTTGATAGAAACATTAGGGCAACCCTTCTTATCCCAGCTGAACTTTGTCCAATGACTGTCTGCCTTTAGGCTATATCCAGTAGGCTATTAAATCTACTTTTCCTGTTATCTTTTTCTACAATTTGCTATCTTTAATCTAAAGTACAGTATAGCTACCAGTATCCTTAGCTACTGTGTGTAGGTGGATCCACTACCTCCTATCATACACTGTGGGCCCGCTGACTGACAGAGGACAAACCAGGAACTTCCATTTCTTCAGAACTCATCAAAAAAAAAAATCTTAGTCACTGGAGCATAATGATCTGATGGTAACTCATAGCAACAGGAAAGAAGCTCAGCTTGAACATGACAGCTGACATGGACAGTGGCCTAACAATTTATTAATGCGACTCAATCTCAATTGAAAATCAAATAGAAGAATGGGTCATCTTAGCATTATAGCCAACAGTGTCCTGCATAAAGTACTCTATGACGTTAAATGTCTCATGTGACTTAATTTCAATTACATCAAATAACAAAACTAGTCACATAAGCAAGGTCGCTGCCTAATAATATATTAGTATTGCCAGTACATTCTTTTTTTATATTGGAAGTCTGTGACTTGTCCTCAGTAAGCTTCAATAGAAATATGAGTCACTTGAATATGTAGTCATCTTCAGATTTGTTGGCTCCTACTGTATGTATGGGATGTCTGTCTACATTTTGTTTTCATGCTATTTTTAAACTTTGAAAAATATAGTGTTAGTGAAGAAAATTAATTAATTAGTACATCATTATTTTAATTAATTACAATTTACAATTACACTGAAATGCAACAAATTTTACAAGTCAAAAGTACAGACATATTTAAACATTTTTCACATAAGAAATAACAAGAGTTAGTGAAAAGGCTGAGAACTAAACCTCTTTTAATCAAAAAATCAATAAATAATAAATATTCTTACACAGGTTTGTAGGATTTGAATACAGAATCTTGGTATTGGAAGACAAACATCTTAACACATCCTGGCTGCCAGCAACGAGTATTCTCGTCCGACAGGGTGTTGCTGAGGGCACCAGGGACGACTATACTCATCGTAATCGGGGTAATTAACATTCTAGCGTTTATTACGTCTTTGTTATCCATTGTAGAACCACAGACTTAATGGCTGGTAGTTCAGGGAACATACACCTAGACAATAATGTGTATGTTTGTGTTATATTGCCGGCAGTACACTCGAGCGGCACAAGTGGGGCGCCCTTTGAACATTGCCAACCCATGCAAAAAGTGGACGAGAAAACTCGCTCTTGGCATAGTCAATAAAAAGTGCTGTCCCAGTGCCGGCGATGAGTTTACTCATCCCCTATTATTTTCCCGTCAATTTATTAGACACATCATTTTGATTATATATGACTAGATAAAACTTCAAAAAAGTATGTTTGTACATATGTAAATTTGTTTTGGCAAACAGGAAGGAAACTTAAAAAAAGGTCTGGCAGTCAACGTCTTAACTGGCAACCAAGACAAACATTAAAATCTTGAAAAATATGTTTTACTCTAGGTAAAAAGCAGCAAAATTTATCAGAGTATAAACCAATCAAAATCATTCTCACCAATGAGATTTTAAATGTTGCAGGTATTTCACTATCCCATGTTAAAAATCTAACTGAGCCATATTTAATCCAATTTGATGTCTGGAGAGGAGAGCATAGTGAGCCTTCCCATGTCCTTATGGAAATAATGATGGACAGTGCATGATAATCACTTTCGCCTGCTTTCGCCTTGTGAAATAAAACTCAACATGTCTGGGATCAATTTACTAAACTTTGCAAAGTCTAAAAGTCCAAATTATTTCATACCTTTTGTATATTTTATTTTACCTTATCTTAATCCAGTATTATTTATATTTAATTACCAATACTATTTTATTCTTTAAAAAATGCTGGCATTAGAATTTTCGTGACATTGGGTTGGTTTGGCTTTGTTTGCCAACAAAAACTATTTATCATATATTTCATTAATGTAAAACTACTGTACTTCCTCTAATTTTCAAAAAATTATAGATGTGTAAGCGCTACAATTCACTCTAATAGTACTCGGGCTTCTTGTATATTTTTATAACATTTTCTATGGTGTGCAATGTTCATGTTAATTTTTTTTAAATTAATAATTAATTTTTCAGGTCTATTCTTTGATTAAATTTATTTATAATCATTTTTTTTTGTTTCAAAAAAATTATTTGCAATATTTATTAATTATAAAAACTGTAATAATTCAATTAATTCATTTATTAAATTATCTTAATGTATTTTTGTAATCTTTAAGAAATGTTGTTAATATGCAATATAGATTAATAATTAATTCTTTAAATGTTTAGGGCTTTTGATATATTTTTATAACCCTTTCAACTGTGTGCAACATTCATGTGAGCTTTATTTCTCATGTATTTGGGCAGCTGACTCTGTTGAGTTATTAATGTATTTACTTTGCTGTCCCTGACCATCAATTTGTTGTTCCTTGTTGTTATTCTGCTTTTTAATGTTATGGTCAAATAAATTAACGAAATGAAACAATAGCAAAGAGCAATTGTTCGCCCAAATTCTCTCCAAAAATAAACTGTGTGTAAAGTATCTAAAAATTAGGAAATATGAAATATACATAACTTTTAATAAAAAATATTGAGTTTACATTTTGAAAGAAATCTGAATTTCTGCCAAGGTAATTTCAAAAGAAGTCAAAGCACTGCTCTATCATGATAAGCTCTCTATTTTTAACATAAAAAAAATAATCTCTAATAAAAATTTAGCCACGTACAGAAGCTTATTATCACCTAATCACTTTTTTTTACTTACAGACTGACTGTGTTATCTGGAACCTCGGGGATAGTCCGATAAGTTGTATAGACACAGCGTACTGACCTATTCATGCAAACACATTGAAAAGGACACTGGAACCTCTGAGCCAACAAGTCTGTCGCTTGGAATATCGTAATGTAGACAACAAGTAATAGTTTGAAAGTTTCCATTTTAACTGGTTGACAGTTTAATACACTCTGATGCTACTCTCAAAATAGCCTGACTATTCATACAAAACTTAATTGATCCAAAGAGCTAAAAAATGTTTGAGTGGTTACAGTATGACACCGCCTTAAATCCAGGCAAATTACAATACTGAACTCTTGACTAACCAGTCAAATTACCCTCAGCTAACGACCATTTCCATTGCTTCCTCAACTTGGTCTGTTGTTGAAAACGGATAATTAAAGCTATTACAGATGAACTGTTCACACTCAAATACCTGAGAGAATTTTTAATCTATACTGGCCAGGGAATTAGATTTCAACACACAATCAACTTGTTGCTAAGTAACAAACATGAATGAGTGTATCTTATCAGCAACATGCAAAACTAGATTCCCTAATGAAAATTAGTTAACCTTTGACCCTATTATATTAATCATGGAAATGAAACTTGGGAAAAGTTTATTTTTAGATACAAAGTTGAATTATCATAGGAACTGGACTTATTTTGATCGACCAATAACTGTTTGTTTGTATTTAGGTCACAACAAAAAGTTCAAAATATAATAAAAATGTTCAGAAATTGGTACTTTAGTGTAAAACTACAGTACCATAAAATAATTATTTTATAATGATTTTAAAACTAAGCATAAAGCTGGGATTATGTTGTGTGCCATTAACAATTGAGGTAGTGTACTGTACTTTAGCCTGATTCAGACAAGCTGTAACTAATCAAACAATTTGTGTGTCATTCCAAGTCTGTTTAGAAGTCAGACAATGCCCTCTATTTCCTAAGACTATTCAAACAACTGTCTGTTTACGTCTGACAGATAAAATTTAAGTGTGTGCCTAGCTTTAGAATAATTTAATTGACATTTTATATTCAGAAGAAAATCACTTTATAATAATGATAATTTAACACATTTGTCCGTAAGTGTCGGAAAAGCGCACAAGCAAATTAAGAACTTTGGTGAGGTCTTTACAAATGATACACAAAATACCACAGTTGAAAATCAGCTGTGCACTGTGAGCATGTACACAGATCCTAGTAAAATATCTTGGACATTTTTTATGCCCCTGCAATGTTTCCCTTGCATAGTATACGAGTATTATACTGTAACGAGGTGCATGCTAATCTTACATAGATGCACATTGTAACATATGCATGCTCATTTTGCCTTACAGTAGCATGGGTCACATACTGTTTTTCTTATGTGAAGTCACATAAGTATTAAAAAACACTGAAAATTAAATTTTAAAAATCACCAAAATTTATATTGTATTAACTTAAATTAGAGATACTCTACAGTAAAAATAAAATAGAAAACCCTTTAAAAATTAATAAAACATCTAACAGATCAAAGTTTTAACTATATTGTACAATACAAAGGGTATAGAAGAAATGCAAAATCAAGGTCCACATTTTAACCTTATTTGTAATAATATTGACAGGCTGAGTTCTGCTCTGCTAATTGTCAAAATGTTTTCAATTTTTTTCTTATACACCAGCTATTCAGCAGCTCATCTCCAATACTGAAGTAAAAGTAGGACACTGGATTTTGGGTTCAAAACTTTCCAACTTTTTTTTTTAACCATTATTTTCAGAGAATAGCAATTTTTTTTTTCAAATTCAATACAAGCATTGTTCAGACTTTCTCCAATAAATCAATAAAATAAAGGCAAGAAGACTAGTGATTATTTATTGTCAAACTCATATTAAAAATACAGATTCGAAAATTGACTTACTTGTGACGAAAAAACAAAGGAAACGACCATACAATAAAACAATACAATGATTAAAAGCCCACTACACTTTCAACATGATACTTTCAACATAGTATGTCACATGATAATGAATGTTGTTTTCAATCCCTGAACACAGCATAAACAACTTTATAAAAAAATTTTCCGATCCCTAGACCCATGCCTATTGGAGTCCCTTCCATGGCAAAATCTCAAGCTAGCATGTATGTACACCTTTTTAAGTTGTGTGCTTTTAAATAAATGGTACAGAATTGTACATTTAGTGGGAAAGTCAGGACAAGAAAGAGTGTAGTACGAGATCACAAAATAAAAAGCTTTAACTCTAATCCACTATTCTATTACCACAAAACACTGTATTCCAAAGACCAAATAAACTATGTTGAGTTAATCTGTTATACCAAAATATACACAAATACCTCAAAACCTGGGTTAAGCATTGTGACTTTGATTGTTGAATAGTTCGTACCAACACTAAAGGAGATACTGTAGTCACCTATTTAACATACAGTACTTTGTTTTCAGGTTGAAAACACATTAAAAACAGTTTAGTAGTAGAATCATGGTCCCATCAGATATTTTCTTTCCAAAGAATTATGTTAAATGCTAATAATTATTATTAATAATAAAACAATTATTACTCAATTAGGCCAAATACAAAAATATACAGACCCTCAGCAATTTTCAGGGGGCAGGGGGGAGTTTTTTCTTTTTTGCTCCATGATTTATCTCTGCACGCTCATCGACACTTAACAAGTATATTTTTTTAATTAGCCTTTTTTGATAAACTGAATTAGAACACCTTACTGCATGTTTAGTAAATTCTAAATGGATATTTTAGGCTACACAGTACCATACCTGTCTAGCAATAGCTCTTGTAATTATGGCTGTTGATTATTGTTCCGACGATTTACATAAATCCAAAGCATTTTATTGGTGGAGCTGCACTTAAGCACTACGGCGTGTTAGAATCCAAGGTGTTTAATTATTACCTTAGAATGAAAGGTCTTGAAATTTGCTTCTAAATAAAATGTGCTTTGATTTAACAACTTGAAACAGGCAGAAGCCCATTATTATTTTCAGTGATACAGTTGTACAAATACACCTAATTTTTAATATCTTTGACAACTAATTGATTAATTCATCAGATGATACACTAATAAGTTTGATATTTCAAGAAAATCCATCTGGGCGCAATTTAAAGGAATGTTCGGAATATTTCATGAAAGCGAAAAACGGTACAGAAACAAAATGCTATTATAATGTCCGCAAACATTGTAAACGCCGTTGTGTGGTGAACATTGTGGTTTGTCAGAAGAATGATTATTTAGTTGGAAATCATGTTATCATATTGGTGGTCCTACAAAATATATGTTTTGAAAACCAAACTGACAGTAATGTCATTACGTTTTTAATTAAAAAAAATAAAGAAGGTAGCTAGCCTAGGCCTAGTTGGTTGAGGATCATACCCCTTTTGTTGATAACCAATTGAGTGGTTGTAGAGTTAGTGCTTTTGTTGACATGACTACAAACATTCATCCATTCATCATTCATTATTCATCCACATCATACATGATATAGCAAGTTGTATTCATGTACACTAAACATTAATCAATCTTGATGTCATCACTGCATTGCAACTCCCAATGTTATTTGCCTATCCCCCACAGTCCACTAATTTTCCAATTAGTGGACGCTTGGCTTGATTTTTTTTAGGTTCGTGTGCAAAAAAAAAAAATTCCTAATTTTTTCGTCACCGTGAAGATATCGCGCACCGCGATAAAATTGAATTTTAATTGAATATTACTTTCGTAAAACAAGGTTAATTAGAACCTGAAGAAAGTTACTTTAAATTCAATATGAACAATTATGCAATTCCTTGAATCAATGAACCCTAATAAACTAAACAAATGAACGTTTAATAGGAATAGTCTAGACCTATTTTAAAGACTCGAGGAAATTAGATGTAGGCCTACGGCCAGGCAGCAGGCTTGTATGCTTTGATAACTTCTTGGTTAAAATTTCATATTTTTTCTCCACAGATCTACTAACCTTTGTTATCAATGAAAGATGAATTGTAGGGTGAAAACCTAAATTTATCGTGTCCTATTTACAGCCAAACGAGAACGGGAATCGCACAATCGAAGGCCTGTCTCTTATACACATCTAGATGTGTATAAGAGACAGTAGTGAGTGTACATTAGCTTCTGCAAAATGTATATATATAGATTAGACATGTGAATAGGATCACCTTTGTTTTTAAAAATAGTATTATGGCCCCGCTCGCTCATCACTTTTTGAGAATTTTTTTTTTTTTTTTTTTTTTTTTTTTTTTTGCCATTTTTTTGAAAAATTTGATATATTTTTACTGGTAGGGCCTACAACAAAATCATGTTTTTTTTTAAATATAAATTTTATTCCATTCTTATGACTTTTATATATTTGTCATTAACCATTAATTTACCAGCAAACATCGGTAAGGGGCGGGTTAGCAAAAAAAAAAAAAACAACAACAAAAACAAAAACAAAACAAAAAAAAACCTCCCTCCTCGTCAGCTTTTATTTTTGGATAGGGTGGTGAACTAATATTTTTTTTTATGGGGCCCAATCCTAGCAAGTATGTATGATGCTCGCCTTGATGGTGAGAGGCAGCATGTTCGAATCACGCTAAAGACACTTTTTTCATATCTGAGCACTGTTATTATTATTATCTAAACTGTGTTTTCGCGTATTTAGTCCTATCATTTTCACCATTCTCAAAATTGCAATTAATTAGTTAAATCGAACTGTCTAGAAATACACGCACTGAATCATTATGCAAATTGTAGGCTACATCAGGCAAACGGTGTGGTTAAAATCTGTCGCCTACAGTAACACCAATTACAAATCATGTGACCACATTTTAAATAACGTCTCGGCCAAATCCACATTCTTCCTGTTATCTGTCTGTCCTACTCCTCTTTTCACCGAGGTTATGATGATGACAAACATATCACGTATTAAATCGTCATTTACAAATAAAATAATAGCACGTCTCTTTTTATAATTATTCATTTTTAGAATCAACATGTAAGCATATATCATATATCTGTCTTATATGTTAGTGTTAGACAAATATATTTACGAAATAACGTTATTTTGATTGCCAATCCCTCATATCGTGGTCTAAAAGTACAATTGGACCATACTAAGCCATAATATAAAAACTCTCCTCGTCAACCCTACCAGGCACTTTTTATTTCGGGACCCGGACCGAGGCTAAGGTCGACCCCTTGGTTCGGACACCCGTCGGACGATGTCGGACCCCTTTCGGCAAATTCTGGAACCACCTCTATCGTTAAACTGAAATTATTAATTTGACGATCCAAACAATATGATTGTGACCGCCAATCTCAATTTTAAGCATAATGTTGGACATTCTAAACCATAAAATTTCTCCCCACCCGGGACCCTGGCCAAGGCTAAAGCAGCCCTTTGCATCCCTGTAGACTAGTGAGTCCTTTTCTCGGAAAATTTTAATTGCAGCCATCACTGGCGTTGAAGTTCTGTGGTTCTCATTAAATTTGAGTAATTTTGGCCTCAATTTATAACTTGTAGGCACTATGGCATAAAAAGGGGCATCGGCTAGTGTCGAGGCACGGTTCGGGCCCCGCAATTCCTTGACATCCCAATTCCTCAAATCCAAAGTGAATTCGGCAATGGATTTTGCCCCGTTTTGGCACTTAATTTGTCCTGTGGGTCTTGGGTTTGGGGCATGCACATCGATATTTTCTTAAAATTTTCACATAGGCATATTTTTTATTTTAGTTTATAGCTCCGCGCACGGAACGAAATAAATCTAGAACTGCAGCCCCAAGCCAACGCCTGCTTATGTCTGTAATCAGAAACGTACTGGTTCATGGATTAGGACTACCTTTACAAACCATGTAAATGTCCTTTAAGAGAGAACCAAACATCACCTTCGAAAATATTGTTTTATATCGACCTTCAAAATATTCCAGAATACTTTCAATACCGGATGTGAGAACCACCTCAACGACTTATGAATCATGTAGGCAGCTAGTAGGGACTGGTATTTGGAAGGTCTACACTAATTATCTTATTCAAATAAAACCCAGACCAATTTGTCTGCCAGACGTTAATCCAAGTTTGTTCAAATTCCAACTTCCCGAGTTTGGGTAAATTCTCGGAAATTACTTCATCGGCCAGGCCAATTCAGACTCGAATCTTATGGACTTTAGTCGATAATTTTGTCCTAAGTAGGCCTACGTGTATAGTTTGGGTAATAAGCTATTGTGTACTCATAATCAACTCGAAAATGTGTGGGTAACTCGTATACTGTAATACTAGTATTTTACCTAACTTGTAGACAACTCCGGTATTACAATTCTTTAGAGTTGACTCTGAGATCGTCGTGTTGAGTAAGATTTCCTATCAAAATAAAGTTAAATCATAATGTATTGTTCCATAGACAATTGTGTCCTGAGGAATTAATGTCATTTGAGGTTCCATCATCAAGTAAAGATACAAAGTGATAGGCAGACACTGTTGCTTTTTTTAACTTTTATTTTCACCATTATATACTGTAAAAAGATGTAGGCCTATGTTTAGTATTGAGCTAATACAACTGAGAGGAACAATAAAATCCAATATCTGCATTGATTACATCATAGTTTGTAAATTTAAGTAAAATATTAAAGTTATAACAAACACTTTCCCCTGCTACTAACATTTTTTACGATTTTGCAGAGGAAAATACAATTAATATTTAAAAATATTCTTGTTTATATACTTTTCATATATCCTTTTAAAACGGCTGGTAATCAATTTTTGAAGTAAAAAGTTTGTAAATCAGTGACAACTTTTAAGAATTGGTTAGTTGCAGAGGAAAATAATATTTAAAAAAATTCTTGTTTATATACTATTCGTATATCCTTTTCAAATGGCTGGTAATCAATTTAAGAATTTTTTGTAGTAAAATGTTTGTAATCAGTGAAAATTGAATTACTTTGTTAAAATTTGTATCTAAATTGACAAGTTCATTCTTTGAGACTTTCCCCACTTCTCCTCTCTATTATCCACTTTGCACTGGAAACATCTTATATTTTCTACTTTCTGTTATATCTTCTTAAAAAAGTGTAATCTTGGTTAACTTGTATAGTACTAGTAGTGGTATTTTTACCTGTTGTAGACAACTCAGGTTTTTCCACTCACAAGCATCCACGAGTTGGCTACAAATTACGATCTTTTAGAGCTGCCTCTGAGATTGTCGTGTTGAGAAAGATTTCCTATCAAAAAAATATTAAATCATAATGTATTGTTTCACAGACATTGTATCCTGAGGAAGTTATATCTTTTCATGTTCCATCAAGTAAAGATACAAAGTTGCTCTTTTTAACTTTTATTTGCACTTGAAACATTCAATATTTTCTATTTTCTTTTATATCTTCTTTTTCGTTTTCGTTGGACTGTTGTAATTGTTCCTTCAGTACCAGACTTCCCTTTTGCTGTCTGTAAAGCATCTGCGTTTCTTTCTGAACCTGAAATTAAAAGGAATATCAATCTTCAATCATAGTCATTGTACAGAATATAATTAAATTATTCTTTATACTCACTATTTTATGCTAAATGAAGCTTTAGGAAAACTATATGTTCAAACTCTTTAGAACTAAAGATATAATAAAATTTCCAAAATTAGCCAGATTTACTTGCAAATCTAGATACTTATTAATCTGTTACTTATTGTTTAATCATGTGAATGAATTAATAAATGAATAAATACTTCAATAGATAATAATTTTTTTATTCAATAATAGTCTGTTCACAGATGAATGTAAAGTCAATCAATATGACCAGTGCACAATCTAATGGCATGCAAAAAAATAATAAAAAATGTCAAAATACTACAAACACAATAATCCACAAAATGTCAATGCAATAAGGATGACACACATGACTTCTGCTAAATCACATAGTTCTTCTGCCTAATGGAAGCGACTGCTTAACAAAAGGTATTTTATTAATCTATTTATGTACTCAGCTGTTCAGAGAACTGAGTTACGATCACTTACGTGCTAGGCTGTAGCACATTCTATCATCTTATCACATTAATGGATAACATTATTGAGTATAATTATCACAAAAGATAATGGTTATTATTCAAATATACCTAATGAACTTACCTTGCATGAAGGGCACGGCAAGCTGACCTCCAGCCGTCAGGTACAGTTGAGATGCACCCCTTGGGAAGATCGGTGCCTGTAACATGGCCGCCAACTCTTCTGTAAAGATAAACAATTAACATTTACTACGATGAATGTAGAATGTAGAATTATGCATTTGGAAATTATGAGGCTTGGCTAGCAGTCTCATAAGATAAATTTGTTTATAAGGGTATGTTTCTGCCGAATAACGGCAAAAACATGTGTTTTTTAAAAACGGTTAAATGCCCGCGGAACGCGTTTCTAGTGAAAAGTGCAACTAACAAAAACACCATAACGCGAGTATCGGTAGGTGGGCAGAGCTTTACTGATGACCACCTACAGAAGTTGAAGTTGACCATACTTCCTGTGAGCTGCAGCGCATGCTGTGAAGGAAGTAAACAATACACCGCGAATGTATGAACAAATTATGGTAAGCCTAAAGCATGTCATCCTGTTGGTTTCATTTTTTTCTTTGCCCCTAATTTCCCGCGAATGGTCGAACCAACAAAGGGGGTAAATTTGGGTCACCGACGGTTCATGACTAACACAGTATTGTGTTGCAGCTGGAAAGTGTACCACAAAACAAGTGTTTTCTAAACGCCAACCCTATAACAAATGCGTGTTAAAACACACATTCCTAGAACGCATTCCTAACCGTGTTTTCGTTTTTGGACCGTTTCTGCTGGGAAAAAAACGGCTGTTTTTTAATAACTACATGTATTTTTGCTCAGAAGAAACAGACCCTTAAACATGGATGGATGCATATGATTAGATGTTATATTTGTAGACTGAACACACTTCTTAAATATATGCTGTTAAAATCTGGAAACTCCTCATCACAAATTCAGATAAAATACTAAATTAGTCATGTAAAAAAAACTCTACAAATTATCAGAAATACAGTTGATTTATGTTATTTATATTTATGCATTAAAAATTTCATTTAATTTCTTACTTTTCATTCTTTTCATTTCTGCAGATTGCTGTTTTTGCTGATGGACATTCCCCAAATCATGATGTCTATAAGTCCCAGTTAAGAAAATCAAATGAATCTAATTAAAAAAAAACCAACTTTCAAATGCACACAAATTTACTTTGTTTAGTATTATTCTGACTATAACATATTAAAAAGCTTTCAATACTCAGTGCCATTTTGATCCTCAACAATTTAATAATAATAATAGTTAATAATCAAATGAGTGAATGAGCAGACAAGGATACAGAAGATCATCGTCTAATTCTACATCGATTTCTTTAGCTGCTTTTATGAACCAATCATTGTGATGCCTTTTCTTTGCCAAACGATGCTCAATTGTTTCAAGCTCACGAACAGCATCAACACGACCTTTCACCTCTCGTAAATATCTGATCTCAGTTGGAAATATTGGAAGGTCATCTGCATCATAAAAAGAAAAGAACTGAATTGATGATCATGACAATGTTTATGGTGATGATGGTGCTCTAAATGGGATACTGTTGATGATTTAGATGATATATTGATGATGATTGATGATGAAGATAATGATTCAGTTTGAACGATGATGATACAAACACGATATTAATGAATTGTGGTGATAATAACCATGTTGCAGATTTTGTTAATGATGCTGAATGGTAATGAAGACGATGATAATATTAATATCAATGATGAGATGGAGGTGATGATGACAATGGCGATGAAACAGATGTAAATAAATATAGCAATAATGATGGTATTTCTGTTGATTGATAATAATCATATGCAGAATTTCCAATGAATCGATTACCGGCTGATATTTGTTAGGCACCTTCACTCCCGCCAACATAGCAGTGCACAGTAGGGGAGCCATAGGCATATCCTTGGTGGAAGCTACCGGAGCGCAGCAAACTGATGCCGAGGTACCTGCGTGTACACGGTAGTGATGGCGACGCTATCTCAAAATCAGGGGTGCGCACTCCCCCCCTTCGCGTTCTTTTGCCTTTGTTTCTTGTGGCTTCAAAAGCGCCTTCAGACGGTTTTCTGTGGAAGGCGCTATATAAATAAATGACCCCCCCACCCTTCGCGTTCTTTTGTCTTTGTTTCTTGTGGCTTCAAAAGAGCCTTCAGACAGTTTTCTGTGGAAGGCGCTATATAAATAAATGACCACCACCCCATTAGCGATGATCCTTAACCCAGACACTCACTGCACCGACTAACGCAGACTGACGTGATTCCATAGAGATTGCAGCGCAACAGATTGTGTTTAATGACAATCCGCCCAGTATGCCATCGGCAATCGGCAGGCAGGCACAGAGAGCAGAGGTGGATTTGTTGGCTGATGGTCATACACTAACATTATATGATGCAGTGTGTGGCAGGATTTAGACACTATAGTCAACAGTACCTCTGTTTAATGTCTTGCACACCCGCTTAAACGACGACACCTCAGCAGGTGAGACCATCATCAAACTAAGTCCTTCTTTACTGGCTCTTGCTGTCCTACCACTTCTGTGTACATATGACTACAAAAAGAAAAACCATTTATTATAAATTTCCTGATTAACAATATATTATCAAAGAGTATAAAATAACAAGAGGTCCGACTGTCTGGGTTTCTTTGAAATGGAATCCTATCTCGAAAGGTCCTACTACAAACAAGAGGGTGTTCTTCAAAAAAGAAGATATACACGTAAAATACGTTTGTATTGAATGTGTGCTGGCATGTAAGGAAAGCCTAACTTTGTTTTTTGTTTCATTGGGTGCATGCAAAATCAAGTATCTATTGCATGGCTCCTATTTTAAGATTTTTTTTGTATGCTTTTCAGTTTTGATTTTTACTAATTTTGGAGAGTGAGGAAGTTTTACCTCTGATGTACGCGGAACTTGATAATGTATAACATGTTGAACATTTGGAATATCTAAACCTCGAGCAGCCACATCAGTTGCTAGTAGCACCCCCTTCGGGTTTGCAGCAAAGCGTTCCAAGTTCTTTAACCGTTGTCGCTGATGCATGGATGAGTGCAAAGGTAGAGGGCAGCATTGTAGGATTGTAAAAACAGACACCAAACGTCGAATGCAATCAATACTGTTTGTGAAAATGAGGGTTCGACCAGGATACTGCAGCAAGAAATAGTATAAATAAACATCCTGAAAAATAAGAAAGTGATGGGGATGAATGTCCAGAAAAAAATAATGTTAATAGCATTGCCTAATACTTAACATGAAAAACCAAGAAAAGGTAATTTGTCAAGTAACTGACAAGAAACAATATTTGACTTTTAAATTTTGTTGAATGCATGATTCTGTATAAGACCAACTCTCAATTATCATTCAATTCAGCCATGGATACATATTTGATTAAAAGAAATCTATAAACCATTACGATAACATTTTGCAAGCAGTGCAATTTAATTCACTGAATACACTCTCAATAATGGGCCACACTGTGCACTTCACAGCGGACTATGAGTCAAGCAAATATTAATTTGGAACAGTTCATTTATAATTCAGAATGTTTCCACAGACTACAATTTAAACAAGCTCAGTAACAACTTTATAAGGTATTTCATTCATATTTCACTACAAATATAGAATACTTGTTATCAATCTACTGTACCACAACAAGCCCAGCACACACTGTAATTCTCCATCACACTCACACATGCAGTAGCCTAACACATTAGAAAACGGAATCACACAGCTCACCTCGGCGACGACGGGAAAATTGCTCAGAAAACCATGTTTTTTTACAAAAACAGACATTTATAAACTATTCATACCACAAAAACTATAAATCTTTATTTCTAAAAATTTACATGACAAGAATCTCTATCTTTATCTCTAGCTTATGATCACAATCTTAGTGTTTAAAAATACGGATAATGTAGTCATATTTCCTGATATTTAAGAGAGTGCTGAATCCATGTGAGCATCAGATGGTTATGCTTGTAATGCACAAGTGTCTAGGGAGGAGTTTTCAATGAACTTCATAGATCTGATTGGTCCATTAAAACTACTGAAACAAATTCTTATTTAGATATGATTAAGAAAAACAATGCTTTTGACTTTTCCCCAAGAAAATCTACCTGCTCCTTTCGCCGCTAGTGGGATTTATATTAAAGACAACTGGGCGATTTCGGCTGATTTTACAGTTTTTACACTGAAAAAAAAAATGTGTGTGTCTGATTAAAATAAAAAGTCTGATGAATGTGTTATGAATTCAATTAAAATTTTATAATCGTCATAAAGATTATTAAATTCCAATTTGTTTTATCTTTTCCCAAAAAAAAACCCATGCGGTATGAGTGAAGTTATTACAAGGAGTTGAAAAAGGCCACATTTATGGGTTTTTGACGACGCTTACTGACGCGTATTCAAATTTTAGCACAAAATGTTATACCAGGAGGAATGATGCTTACCTTCTCATTTACATCACATACAATCTTTGTTTCTACTAACGTCTCTACTGTCCCCTGTTTTCTTGTCAGATCAAATATTTTCGCATCTGAGCGAACACCAATTTTCTCCATCAAAGAATCTACAAGAAGAATATATTCAAGACTGTCAAAATGTGAGTTAAGATATTGGTTGTGTTCTGATGGAAGAATGTAAGGATCATCATGTGATAGAGGGTGCTATATAACCATTGCCTTTTAATTAAATATCAATTGACAGCATAAAGTTATTTAGCTTTTTTGGTTCCTCAGTTACTATACTATTATTCAGATATAATTGAGAAGATGTTTATTTATTGCATAAGTAGATAATGTAATAAGCAATGCAGTATTACAATACAACAATAACTACTGAATTATTCATTCCAAAAACATTTCTGGATTTCTATTTTAAACAATACAGTTTTGAATGTTTATACTGCAAATAATTAAACTATGGAAAACTACATTTGATCATAAAAATATGTTTCATTACTTTAATGAAAACCTATTTAAAATAAAACACAAGTTACCTAATTTTTCCTTTTTATCTGTTTTATAGCGATTTAGAAAGGTTTTCCGATTTGGGCCTAAATGAATAAGACTCAACGTTGCTGAAAAAACAAATGTTTGCCGTTGAGAACGATGCTTGGATCTAAAAAATAAAATTTCAAACATTTAAACAAGTTTAAATTTAACTTAGTTGAACATGTTAGATGAAAACAGTTTTACCAAAAAATAATGTTTCCAAAATTCACTGGAGACACTAACCCATTAAGAATGTCCAGGATGTTGGTCAGCTCTGCATAATGACCCTTCTCAATCATTCTGTCAGCTTCATCAATAACCAGAAATCGTGCTTGGGCCATGTGCTTGATGTAGGGTGCCCCCTATAAAAAGGAACAGACCAGAAACATAATGCATGATGGGAGGTATGTATATAAGGCACCACAATACAAATATAGTGATATACAAATTAATAGACAAGTAGGAATTCAAAATGGCTTACAGTTTCATATAATTCCCATAATCTACCAGGTGTTGCTACGATGATCTCAGGTTGCTTCTTGAGTATCCGCAACTGTTTTTCAGCAGCCATCCCACCAACAACCACTGCTATCTACAAATAAATTTGAACGAACACAACATCTTCATCTATAATTCCAAAATGCAAGAAACTCGTAACCAACAACTATTACCATTTGTGCAAGAAGTAGCGACCAGTCATACAATAATAACCGCAATTCTATATCAAATCCTACACCATACTTCAATCTATTCAGTTTTGCAAGTTGATTACAGAATACTATTTAAGGTTTATATCTTTACCTTAATGTCTGTGTACTTGGCAGCATTTTTCAGGTGTTTTGCCACCTGTACTGCTAATTCTCTTGTTGGAGTTAGTATCAATGACATAAATGACTTATCCTCATTGTTCACAACTTTTTTTCTTGGCATCCAATCCTCATTTTCAATATCATCTTCAACATGAACAAGCCCCACCTCATCGGAGCCTGTGGAAATACCCTCAGATCCTGTGGGCATGTCCTCAAATGTTCCTGGCTGATCATCAGCTGATTTTTCTGCTAAGTTCTCTATTTTTGTAGTGTTTGATTTTATACGAAGGATATGACTGAGAACAGGAAGACCAAATGCTAGCGTCTTGCCACTTCCCTTTAATTATAATAATTTGAATAATAAAATGAAAATTTAATTATAAGACTAAAAGCATAGACATTTACATGCACATCTTTGATCTGTATACCATATATAAATATAAAATGAGCTATTGTAATTTTCTTTGAGAATGTTAAATTTTTTTTTTTTTTAATTTAGCATTTTCTTACAGTTTCTGCTGCTCCTATGATGTCTATTTTACTGTTGATGGCTGTTGGGATGGTTTCAGATTGGATGGGTGTTGGTTTTGTGAAGCCTTGGTCAGCCACAGCTTTTAGCAGGACATTCGGCAATCTCATATCTTTCCAAGCTGACATGTTGACTCCTGAATTAAGTAATAATAATGATTTATTTGTATATTTGGAGCATATATCATTATTATTATAACAGATTGTTCTGGAATATATACATACAGTATATTCTGCCTGCAAAACATAACAAACAAAATGCAACATAAAATGTTTTTTCTGTAAGCAGGTTCTTTGCCAACTTTTAAGTTTTAAGTGACGAATACATGAAATTTGCAAAAATATGTGCATGCTGATGATATATCACAACCATGGGTAAATCACAATACTGTAAACTGTATTTGTCACATAAATATTTATCAAAATCTAAAATCAATAGTATAAAAATTTAGTATTTAAATATATATTTTCTGTGTTCTTGAGCAAATAAACCAATGTAAATTCAGTATAGTTGATTTCTCTCTTTAATAATATATTATCTTTGATTGAAATTATACAGAGATCTATGTTATCGAATAATGGGATGCATGTACAATTCTGTTTCTAAAGACAGATTGGAAGAACACAACACTTAGTAAGAAAAGACCTTACCAACTACATTTTTTCTCGGTTTCTTGCCTAGCCGTCTTTTTACCTCTTCCATTATCTTCTGTTTGGGAGTTTTTTTAATTCTTCTTTTTGCTACCTCCTTAGCTCCAACTTGTCCTTTCAATTCCAGTTTAGCTTTTTTAGAAAGCAACACATCAGAGTCCTGCTCACTTTCGAGCTTTGCTTCAGAGCTATTTTCAGTTTTGGTTTTTATAATATTCTAAAATGACAGAAACATCTGTACTGACCAGGTAGCCTTGCATTGTTGTACAGTACATGACTTTGGTAGTGACAGAAAGAAGGACAAACAATGGAAAGTACATTCCTTATTCGAATCAATTAATTAATGAACTATAAATTATTATTAATAATTTTGTTAGTAAGAAAATTGCCAGACAGATGGTCTACAACCACCTCATCCCAACAATTTTTGACCTAAATTGAAAATGATCAATTTGTCACCTCAAGAAGCCTAAAATGGTAATTTTTGAGCCAGGTGCCTGGCTTTAGAAAATGTTTCAAAAACTTGGTCGGTGGAGTGTCATAATTCTGTTATTTAAAAAAAAAATAATTTTCACAACATTCTCAAATGCCTTTTCTCTCTATGCCTAGAGATGTAAGTTGAAGTAAGTATCTGACGCTCCTTGAATTCTACTGATTGACGTTGATGCAGGCTAACTAATCACTAGCCTAGATAGGTCCAACCTACCTTTTTCTTGGCGAGTTTCAGCGTTGTCTTCGGCGAGACATTTTCACTTGAATAGAGGCCTGGTGGCTGTCTATGGTTAACCCCAGATACTTCGTAATCAGTAAGGACCTCTAGCCCCATGAAACTTTCAAAATCTCCATCTGAGAGTAAATTGGTGTCAAGTTCTACCGGTTTCCATTGGCCTTTTTCGATTATATTGCTACTCTCTTCGGTATGTCTGCGTTTAAGTTTCCTCATGTTGCACTTTCTGGAGGCTGACATGTTTGGGTTAGTCTACTCTTTATATAGGTTTACTAACTTTGTCGAGGACTGTCCCTGTCGGGTAAGTGGAGTTTTAAAGCAAATTTATGATAAATTCTCACACTATTTTGTTCTTGTCCCGATGTTTTGGGTTTTATTTTCATTTGTGCATATATTCTTCATGTATAAAGAGCACCAGGGCAAGGTGTAATTATGTTCCAAATTTGTTTTAGCTCATATAAAAATCCGCCCGCCTATCACCTTGACGTGGATTTCGCCTGAAGCTCAGATGGTCATGAGCTGGATGTCGCTGCAGCAAAACGATTGTTGTGGTGAGCTAGCTGTGTCAGATTTTGTAATAAATTTATCTTGTTTAATAGAGCTACTTCTTACATTTTATTGTCATGGGAGGAGATGGAGGAAGCATACCTGGTCGTCAAGACCTTGTTCGCACAAAAAGAAAGCCGGAACAGGTATCGACAATACGGTTTGATAGTTTGATACTGATATAATAAATTAATAAATACGGCTAGGCCTAGTAGTAGTACTAGTAGGTAGGCCTCCACTCCGACCTACACCTCTACACCACCAGTCACTGACTAACATTAGGCCTATGCAGGCCGAGAGAAGGGCAGGGCTAGGCCTAGCTTGACAATGCCATGGAGGAAGAAAATAGGCCTAGTCCTGATTTGTTTTATTCACCTCCATATTGACGTGTAAGATTGAATAATAATAATAATAATATTTTTTTAAATAATAATAATAATAAATAATAATAATAATAATGTTAAATAATAATAATAGTAGTAATAAATAGACCTATAAGTAATTTTAAAAAAAATATTTAGAGGATAGTAGGGCCTCCTAGCTAGCCTTGGAGGCCTAGACCTACCTACCTACAATCTACAGCTTTTTATTAATGTTTGTTGTGATATTATTTGAAGGTTTGCAGGGCAAAGTAATAATAAAATTCTTGCAGTACACCACAGAGACAATGACAATCGTCTTTCGGAGAATTTCTGCTGATGTACTATTTATGGTTGAATTTATGTGTCTCTTTGTTTTTTTGATGATGACAAAGAGTAGATATGGTTTTAATTTTTTTTTTTTTAACTTTCCAAAACTTAAGGCCGAGAAGGAGTTTGAGCGTGTAGCCAAGTGGAAGCATTGTAGCATCACCCAAGAACCTCTCCGGCAGCCCATTGTAGCTTGTGAACTTGGAATGTGAGTGAAAACTTAATCTATACTACCTTACTGTACACTAATTTTTTCATAGTCACTCACTCAGTTCAGTGGTTCTGCAGTGGACTATATATGATATAAGCAACGTAGTGTGTCTTCTCAAAGTGAAAATAGATCTCCACATGAGTACCAGAATTAAATTACAGTGTAGTGAATTAATGTATATTATCATATATTTTGTTTCAGGTTATACAATAAAGAATCTGTTTTGGAATATTTGATAGAAACTGACAAGTCCGCATACACCAAGTGTCAACATATTAAGTCATTGAAGGTAATTATGTATCTCATGGTTTATTCTCAAGTGTTGATTTTTATTTTTTCCATGAATCTTGGGTTAAAATATTTTCAGAGCTTGAGGCTTTGCTGTCTACCCTAAATTTTCCATTACTGTACTCTGTTTTTTGGTTTTAAAATTTATTTCATGTGTTAGGATATAAAGGACTTGCACCTCACTGAAAACCCAACATATAAGAATGATGCTGTAAAGAAAGGAGGAGGTGTATACAATGACCCACATACTGCCCAGTACGTCTGTCCAGTCACAGGTTTGGAGATGAATGGACGATACAAGTAAGTTGTATAATTTATTTAGAGAAGGGATGAATGCGACTATATTCTCCTCATAGTCACAGCCCTGCAAATTGCTTTGCAGGGCTGTGACTGTGGTTGGATATTTTTATTATCAGATAAATTGTCATGATTTGCATTCATTGACAGATTTTGTTTCCTGTGGAAGTGTGGATGTGTGTTTGCAGAAAGAGCTTTGAAGGAAATCAAATCTGACACTTGTCACAGTGTGAGTTGCTCTGTTAATTAGCATTTCTATTTATCTATTTTAAAAATTTAATACAGTATAATACAACTGTGGTAGCACAAGGCCAAAACTGTGATTGTAAAGCTCAATATCTGACTCCTTTAAATATTAGTATATTTAGTGTGTGAGAAAACTGTAGTAGTTCCCAATGATGTGAAATATAAAGGCAAATGTAAATATAATTATTTTCCCTTGCCATGAGACTATTCACCATTGTCTTGTGACAGTGACCTTAAGCATGAAACTATTTTCCTTTTTTGAGGCTTATTACTTCTGTCGTGAGTCTACATCATTGAATTAATTATTTCACCTTTAACATGTTCATGCCTGTTAACATGTGACTTTTTTAACCACTGACTACCATATGATATGATTTCTCTGTTTTGATTTTTACAACAGTGTGACAAACCTTATGATGGGGACTGGATCATGTTAAATGGAAGCTCAGAGGATGTTGAATTAATGAGAACAAAAATGGAAGAACGGAAAGCAAGGATTAAAGCTGAAAAGGTAAGCAGTGCATCTGTTCACCTTCTGATGAGCATCATGATGATAGTAATAATGTTAAATAGGAGTTACTTCAGTTATAAGATTATTGTATTCAATTATCAATTTTCCACAATTTCAGTTAATTAAATAAGATTGTTCAAAAATGTTTCTAAAGAAGCTTGAATATAGAATTGGAAGGCAAGTTTTTAAACCATCAAGCTATTTTACAACTTCCAAATTTGTGTTTTCTTTTTATTCAGAAAGCTAAGAAGGCCCAAAAGAGAAAGCTGGTAGAATCTTCACAAGAACCCCATATGTCTACAGGTAATGCATATCATCTATTTTGTTAATGTTTTACCTCAAACCAATGTTTCATTGGTTGTAATGTTTGATGAGTATAAAATAGTTTATTGTAAGAAAAAAACTTGACAATTGAAAAAATACCAGTAGCACATCTAAGACTAAACAATACCATTTTGAGTTCTATACAGTAGACTTTTAAATTGTCAATGTAATCAAAATTAAAAGGATTAACATTTTTAGTTCCTATGCATGTAATGCAATAGGAACTATTGTAATCACTCTTGCTATTTCCTATGTTTTTTATTGTGTGTAGTGTGTATGTGTGTGTGTAGACATTTATGCAAATGCGCATGCGTCAAAGAAAAGTTTTCCGACATTTTGTTTTACATCGCGATGCGAAGATCGATGTGAAGTTTCTTTAGAGTTCAGTCAGGGCTCACGCTAACCGACCGGAATGTCGGCATGGATGAAACTATTTTGGTTTTACGGCAAAAAAATCATCTGCTGTAGGCATAGGTATTTTTTTAAGGCCTAAAATAAAACTAAAATATTTTAATACTTGCTGAAATACATCGTTTCTTCATTTAGATCTCCATTTTTCACTTAGTCCATGCCGACGTTTTTTTCTGTTGTATACGTATGAGTAGTCATATGAAGGTACTATATCCCCGACAGTTGGCTGTGCAGCAATGTACCCTTTGAATGCAAACTGAAACAGGTGAAAATATAAAGGCAGCCGACTGTCGGGTACATAACGACTATCTAGCTTTCCACAAAAACATGAGGCCTAAGCTAGGCCTAGTTCAGTATTACTGCGATGCAAGGGTAGGCCTAGTTAGATCGTTCAATCAATGATATCGTGTTATCGTCTGATCAATTAAATAATGTGTGTAATATTTAAGAATGCACCACGTGGGTCGCTTTCTTTGTTATGCGGTTGTAGTGTAGTATACGTAGCAGGGTGACGACAGCAAGCTAAGCCTAGCCCAGGGCATAGATCGTGTACGTTCTTGATAATCGTAATGAAAACTTCGGGTGATAGACGATTGGGCCCAACTGGTGTGGACGATCGGACCCAAGATAGCTTCAA